CGAGATTTCTCTTGGTGTTCCCTTCGGGACTTTGATTGTTGTATGTGTGTTGAGCTTGAAGATCCTTGAGTAGGAGCTTCTGTTTTTGGTGGGCCTGTCGGTATACCTCTTGTACTCCATCAGTTGTTCTGTTTTTTGTATTTTGTTGATTTCTGTGCCTAAGTAGGCTAGGCTCGCTATGGTCGATGTTGTTGGTCTCTCTTTAGCTGCTTCCTTTGCTAGCGTGTCGGCTTTTTCATTGCCCTTGACGTCGTTGTGTCCTGGGGCCCACTGCAGGTGGATAGATGCTTTCTTTGTCGTTATTCTCTTTGCAGCTCTGATGCATCTTAGTAGCCACTGTTGTCCCGGGTTGTCCGATAGGTTGTTAAGCCTATGGATTGCTGCTTGGTTGTCTGCGTATACGTAGATCTCTTGGCCTTCTTGTGCCACTGTAGCCGCGTGTTCAAATGCCTGTGCTATCCCCTCTAGTTCACCGTTGTAGACTAGTTGGGAGCATCCAATGTTTGTCTTTTGAGAAAAGGTTTCTTCGTGGGTGGAGCTGTACGCTACTACACCTACGCCGATCCCTATTCCCTTGTCGTGTTGTGAGGCATCTGAGTAGATTGCGGTGAAGTTATCTCCGCTCCTTGATAGGATATAATCCGCGTGTGCAATTGCCTCTTCCTCTTTGCTCTTTTTTGATACAGTAACCTTGTAGTTAAGACTTTCCCTGCACCCTCAATAGTCTGGGCCCAAAACCCCGCACTGCAATATTGTCTGAAGCATCGATCTACGTCCTGCACCAGCCAGAGGTCATACCAACACTTTCATCGTGTTCACATCGCATGACATCCTCACTCGTCAACCCCTATAGAAAAGCCGTGTCTGTGTGAACTACCAATAGAATCTGTTGATAACCGATATTCCAACACATCGCTAGGCCCCATTGTCTAGTCTCAGTTAGCCCATCATATTTCATGGGCCACCGTGCGGAGTGTTATGGGCTCGTGTCAGAAGTAAGAGAATCCACAAAGTAACAGGTTTTGCAGCTTTTTATTATTGAGTAAGGGGGTACGGCACCAGTTAAGTGAGCGCGAAATGACGTTGAAGTTATGAGAATAGTTGGAAAAGGCGAAGAGTTGGCGTAGTGAGGTGTATCAGAGATCTACATGAACCAGACTCCGCAACAATCAAATCAATCAATCTTAAGGTTGTCGATTGGTTTGATTAGCTTGCGGCGACGCTGCCGATTGATTGCGGATTGATTGTTAGGGTTTTTGAGCAGATTGATTGCGATTGATTGGTTGATTGGCTGATTGATGCCAAGAAGTAGTATACAGGGGGTTATGGTGTTGTACTCCAGCCTTCTATATCGTACTGTTGTACAATCTCCTCATCTTTGACGTCACTCCACTTGTCTTCATCATCACCGTTGTTGTACAAGCCGTCAAAGCCAGCTCGTCTCCACGAACGTACAAGCTGAAGGGCAGCAAGTAACTCGCTGCCAAGAGCTCGCCGGCGCGGCTCAAGTAAATCGCCAAGCTCGCTAAAGAGCCTCTCGCAGTCGCAACTAGATGCTGGTATCGTGAGTATATCAATCGCAAACTGGCTTAAACATGGGTATTTTGAGCGTAATTGAATCCAGTACTTGACTGGGTGGCCATCGCTAAGATACTGTTCGCTTGTCCACTCTGGCTCTTGAGTTCTCCAGCGCTCGTACTCATCGTCGTGGGCAGCCTCTACCTGAGCCTTGTTGCGCCGTACGAGGGCGCCAATCACATCATCTATTCCTCCATGCCTTGGTTTTGCAGTTGTTTGAGATGGAGGACGTGTACGTTGAGGCTTATACGACTGCCAGAGCTGCAGGAAGCCAGCGTTGGCTGATGTTAGCCATTCTGGCTTATCCACCCAGCTGTTCTCGCAGTAGTATTTGTAGTATGGATAGAGGCAGGTAGCAGCGTAGTATGCTGGCGATCGATCGAGCTTGTTGTAGTAATCGTTGGCCTTACTCCAGGCGGCGCGGAGGTTAACAAAGAGGTGATCTTCAGGCGCATCAGGTGGGTTGAAGTCAACTTGCTCGTACGAGCGCGTACGGGCTTCGAGCGCGCCAAGTACGTATTCAAATACAGGAATAGTCTCATATATAGCGCCGTATTTGCCTGCCTTTCCGCGACCCTCAAGCTTCTCCGTAGCAAGCTTAAGCGGCTCTAGGCAGTCCTGATACTCTGTTATCACCGCCCAATCAGCAGCTGTAAGTCCTGTTGATCTCATCCAACTAGGTGCTTCAGGGAGTTTATTGCCACGTTGACAAGCGCGGCGATCTTCAAGGGAGAGTGCGTTAATGTAGTGCTCAGCGTAAGAGTTGTATGCTGCCTGGAGTTGAGTTGCGCGTTTGAAGGCAGCGTAGTAAGAGTTCCAGCGTGTAACAACAGGCTTCACAGGCTCAAGTACGTGGAGGCGCTCTCTAGCTGGCAACTCGGCGTTGGCGGCGGTTTGGAAGCTTCGGAAAATTTCGTGTTGTTGAGGCGTTTTTATATGGTTGATAACGTCGATAAGTACACCTAAGGGCCCTTCTTGACGCCACTCCTGCATGTACACCTCCTCTGTTTGGAGCTGCTCGTCGTTGTTGTTGTTGTACGCCTCTTGATTGCTGCCAAAGATAATTGCCTGGCCAATAAGGTTAAGCGTGTGAGGGCCGCAGCGGAGGCGTCGGTGAGCAGCGTTGAAGTCGTACGCGTGGGCGAGCGAGGAGACTGCAGTATCGTTGTTTGCAGCATTGTCGAGGACGAAGTAGCCGAGTTTATCACTCCCAATACTGTATTCTTGGAGCGTCTTTTTAATTGTATCAGCGATAGCATCACCTGTATGAGAGCCTGCGAGATGTGGGAGGGCGATGGGGAGATCTTGTATCACTCCAGAGGCGTTAGCAAAGTGTGCAACGACTCCAAAGAATCCACGCTTGCCACCCTTTGTCGTCCAACCATCAAAGCTTATGTGGATCTTGCTTGCAGCTTCTGACAGAGCGCAGACAATCTGTGGCTGCATATATTGGAAGAGGCGCATTGCGTAGGTAGCTACACTGCGAGGACTTACCCACAAAGCTGCCTCTGCCTCTGGGTTTGCAAGGCTAATCATCTCGCGAAAGGACGGCCTTGCAAGTAGCTCCATTGGCAAGTTGTTATCAAGAAGGCAGAACACTGCAACTTCACGAAACTGCTGGATGTTGAAGTTGCCCATCGCGTTGGCAGCCTCTTGAGAGACTGCAACACCAGTCTCCAGCGTCTGTCGTAGAGAGAGTTGCTGCCCTGTTCTTCGAGGCTTCAGGCCGTCTTTTGTAAAGCCATGGCCTCGTTTCTGAAGGCCAAGATGAGCTGCAGCTGAGGAGGTGGCCTTTGATACGTCAAAAACTCCACTGCCGCCAGTGTCAATGACCTTGTGGATGTGGCAGTATTTGCAAACAAACCACACCCGATTCTGATCGTAGAGCTCAACAACGCGATATCCATGTTGAAAGATCCAACTCTTGACGCGCCGCCCAGTTGTAAGAGGCTTCATGAACCGAGGGAGGCGATCCCAGTTAATGCCGTCAAAGTTATCGCCATTATCAGGCTCTGTATCAACGCTAGCCTCTGTTGTTGCTGCTGTACCAGCCTGGCTGCCCTTAGCCGCACCCTCCTCCTCTGTTTGCGACTCCAAAAATTGCGACTCAAACGTTGTGGCCTG